GGCTGGACAAAAGGTACTATGTCAGCCAATGAACCTTGAAATGATTTCCTCATTTGGTTCAGACCTTGGACCCACCTGTGAGGAGCATGCTGTGTTTGTGAGCCCTGAGGGTGGGGGACTCGAAGGGGCTCAGATTGCCTAGCCTGGGTTCTGGGACCCACCTACTAGGTGGGTGGATGGGGAACCCAGGGTCGCTGACCTAGTTCCTGGGGCCCACCTAGTAGGTAGGCATCAGGTTCATGAGCCTCGGGGTGGGGGATCCGGTGGGGCTTGGGTCACCTGGCCCAGGTCTCTTAGGCTGCCTGTGAGGTGGGTGCTGGAGCTGTGAGCCCCAGGGGTGGGGAATCCGGCAAGGCTTGGGATGACTGGCCCAGGTTTTGGGCTCATCGGCAAGAGCATTTCCTATGTAGTGAAAAAGGGCTGAGCAGTGGACACAAGTCCAGATGTACAAGGAGAATATGGCAGCTCCTTTGATACCATAGCAGAATAAACTGGACAACTACTCCAGTCAAACGATGACAGAAAAAAATCTCGACTATGAATGGAAACTTGAGGATTACTATGTCAGCCAATAGACATTGGGAGGGTGGCTTCGTCCTTGAATCGGTGAGATCGACAACATTTCAGAACCATCCAAACCACTGGGGCAGGACCCTCAGCATATGTACACATGGAGACCCGAGTTGATACAAGGTGGTGGTTCCTCTTCTCTGGGTACTGGGCCGTTTGGAAAGTCATGCGTGACTTCCTCCTTTGTCTCTCCCCTTTCCCCAGAAACAAGAAAAAATAGCAAATTTGGAAATAATAAGTTATATAATTTCCCTAAACCTTCATCCTTCCCACCCTGATCAATCATGTAATCGTTATAAACAGTAACATTTTTTAAAAAGAGAAAGGCGTTTCTCAACCTTGGAGCAAGAAATCAGCAGTATCTCACAACTATCAAAGCCATTTATGCAGTACCCTCAGAACACGATCCACCTCAGGGACCCTGGGATGACACCGAGTGGTCGTTCCCCATCCCCGAGTACTGATACGGTTAGGCAGCTGGGAACAGCCTATCTCCTTCTCTCCCTTCTTCCCATAGACACAGTAAGAAAAAAAAAAAAAAAAAGGAAGCATCCACTTTCTCCCATTGCTTGACTCTTCCTACCCTAATCAGCTGTCCACATGGGCATACATTCATCTCAACTATGTAAACATCATCAAAAATAAAATAAGTGTTTTAAGGGACGTGGCATTTGTTGTGCTTCTGCCGTATAATCGCTGGGTCCTGCTCAGATTCAAGCGCCCCACCTCCACGCCATGGAGGAGATGTCAGGAACAGGATTACAGGGGAAGGGCACCCCAAATGTGGCAGGGAAGTACAGCACATGTCAAGACTGTGTGACCTGCTTGGCCACAGCTCTGTCAAGCACAGCAGTGGCTGAGCGGCCACGCTTGGCACCTTGCTGGAATGCTGGAGGCACAAGAAGAGCCCTCACGGTCCTGTCATGGGACCACATGTGTGGATGTAGGGCTTTAACCAACAGAGCAGGGTTGTCTCATGATCCTGGAGGCTATGAGTGTGAGACGGGAGTCGCAAGGCTACACTCCTTCTGAAAGTTACAAGGAAGGGCAGGGCTCCACTGTAGGGAGCCTGGCACCTCCCTTGGCATAGGGCCATATCTCTCCAATTACACGACCATCTTCCCTCCCTTTGTCTCATCTCATCCTATTTTTAAAAAATGATTTACTTACTTGAAAGCCAAAGAGAGAGATCTTCCAATCACAGGTTTACTCTCTCAGATCGAAGATAGGTGTGTGTGCCTGCATCTGAGTCTCCCATGTGGATGGTAGCCGTTTAGGAACTCGGGCCGTTTTCTGCTGCTTTCCATACACATTAGCAGGAAACTGGGTCAGAAGTGGACTGGTGGGAGTGCCCATCACTCACCTGGCCTTCCCTAGGAACCTGACAGTGACAATGATGACAATGATAATTATGATGATGGTGGTATTGTTGATAACGATGACCATGGTGAGTCAGCCCTCAGTTGAAATGGTGAGGGCCATTATCGAGCTGGTGAGTGACGCAGGCATGGCTGGGGAGGGCCTGAATTGGGCCAGAAGAGAAGGGTTGGGCTCAGGAGATGGTATGGGGAAAGCACCAGCTGACCTAATGCTGCCTGGAAGGTCCAGCTGGAGAGCCAGGTCCAGAAGGATTCCAAGGGCTCCAGTCATCCAGGGTGGGCCTTGCTAGATGCTTCTGTCATTGGGAGTAGTCTAATTTCTCTCAAACCTGAGATAAAAGATTCCAGCATAAGTGGCCGGTTTGGAGAGAATCCCAAAAAATGTCAGCAGGGGAGACAGAGAGAGAGAGAGAGAGTGGCCTGGGAAAGGAGGAAAGTCACAGAACATGGTGGACAAACAGCCCCTGCCTGCCTGTTACCTGCACAGGGTTTGGCAGGTGCAAAATGCACCGTGCCATGCCAAACAATGGTTGACCCTGTGCTCTGAGTAGAGGCCAGTTCCCTGCACTTCGTATCTGCCCTGCGGTCACCCAGTGGGTTCCAACTGCCACAGGAGGGTCCCAGGCAGAAAAGCACAGTGAGCTGGCACACGCAGGTGGATGCAGCGAGGGCAGGGCCAAAGCCCACAGTCACTACAGTAACAGAGGCAGAACTGCCAGCATATCTGGTGTTTGATTTCCAAAACACCAAGGCAGCTCTGTGAGGATGGCCCAGGCCTGTGGGACTTGATGTTTCAACTAAGGCAGAAAAGAGAACACCCCAGCGAGAGGGAGCTGAGGGCTGCACTGTGAGCAAAGACAAGTCGCCAAGTCTAAGGTTTGGTTTAGATAAGGCTCTGAGGGAAGAGGAATGTGTTGCTGTTGTTATTGCTGTTGTTATTATGCCAGATTTATAGAGAAGGGGAGGCAGATCTTTCAGTTGCTGGTTCACTGCCAAACGGCAACAGCTAGAACTGAACTGATCCAGAGTCAGGAGCTTCTTCCAGGTCTCTCATGTGAGTGCAGAGTCCCAAAACTTTGGGCCATTCTCTGCTGCTCTCCCAGGCCATAAGCATGGATCTGAATGGGAAATGGAGCAGCTGGGACATGAACTGGCTTCCATGTGGGATCTCTGTGTTGCAAGGTGGAGGATTAGTCAAGTGAGCCATTGCATCAAGCCCAAGAAATGTTTAAAAAGATTTATTTATTTTTATTGGAAAGTCAAATTTACAGAGAGAAGGAGAGAGGAAAAGATCTTCCATCCGCTGGTTCACTCCCCAAGCGGCTGCAATGACCAGAGCTGAGCCAATCCGAAACCAGAAGCCAGGAACCAGGAACTTCTTCCGCGCAGAGTCCCCAGGACTTAGGCCATCGTCTACTGTTTTTCTAAACCAAGGGCAGAGAGCTGGAAGGGAAGTGGAGCAGCCATATGGGATTCTAATGCATGCAAGGTGAGGTCTACTACGCCAGGCCCCCAGAAATGTATTTTTAAAACATATTTCTTGGGCCTGGCGGCATGGCCTAGCAGCTAAAGTTTTTGCCTTGAATGCGCCAGGATCCCATATGGGCACCAGTTCTAATCCCGGCAGCTCCACTTCCTATCCAGCTCCCTGCTTGTGGCCTGGGAAAGCAGTTAAGGATGGCGCAAAGCCTTGGGACCCTGCACCTACATGGGAAACCCGCAGGAGGTTCCAGGCTTCTGGCTTTGGACCGGCATAGCATCGGCTATTGTGGCCACCTGGGGAGTGAATCAGTAGACAGAAGATCTTCCTCTCTGTCTCTCCTCCTCTCTGTATATCTGACTTTCCAATAAAAATAAAAAAAAAAAAAACATTTTTTTTCCTTTTATTTGGCAGGCAGTTATAGAGAGACAGGGAAAGGCAGATTTTCCATCTGCAGATTAATTTACCCAGTGGTGCAATGGTCAGGATTGGGCCAACAGTCAGGTGCTTCATCCAGGTTTGCCACACGGGTGCAGAGCCCAAAGCACTTGGGTCATCTTTGGCTGCATTCCGGTGCACTGGCAGGGAGCTGGGTCAGAAATGGAGCAGCCAGGAGACATCTGAGATGCAGGTGTGATAGGTGGTGCTTAACAGCCAGTCCCTTAAAAACCCTTAACCAATCTCTAGATAGCCATAACCTGTGGGGCACACTGAGCTAAAATGAGCAATAGCTCTCAAGGAAGCATGGGATGAGGTCAGGGAAGAGGCTGTGATTCAAGCCCAAGGACACGGCGCTCAGGCCTAGAAGTCAGCTGGATCCCAGTTCAAGCCCTAGCCTCGGCCCTAGTGGCCTCATGTCTCTGGAATACACTTGGTTTTGAGGTCTGTTTTTCTTTTTCAACTGAAAGACAGGACAATGACCAGACTAACTTCACGGTACCTCATCCTGCAGTGACATCACAACTCAGACCATAGCAGCATTAAGGGGGAGGGGATGTCCTGAACTAAGGCCTGGGGGGTTTGTAGGTGGGAGAAGTGGTGATGTGGAGGGTCCCTCAAGAAGGCTTGTTGGGTTGGGGCTATGAGGGCTCTCTGACATCAGCAGTTGAGGGGAATGATGGGGCCTCAGCCCCAACTGGGAAGACAGGTGAACCAATTTGTAACACACACACACACACACACACACACACCTCTGACATGTTAACTTCAACTTCTGGAAATAGCCATGGCCAGGGCCAGGGACAGTTGTTTAAGGTGGGGTTTCAGGCAGTGGGGAAATCCAGGGGCTTGCATGCTCTGACACCAGCCAGTGTCATTCCACTCCTTGGGAGACGCTGCCTTGCTTGCAGATGCAAACAGCAAGGACAGTTGGTCATTTCAGAGCATTTGCCACTTGGCCCAGAAAGAAAACACCCCCCTCCACATGCTGCCATTGTCCCAGCCTTTGGGCCACGCCCCACCCCACTGTTAGGAATCTGCTGGGGCGTCCAGCGAGCGTGGGATTCTGTATTGGTTTGTTATTTCTGCAACAAGGAAGGGTTTTGAAGGGGCCAAGACAAAGCAGTTTCCACAGGAGAGAGATCACGTTGATTTTATTTCATAGTGGAAATGTCATGCTCAAAGGTTAAGAAATCAGCTTTGAAAAAATAATCAAGTAAAAATAAATAAATACATAAATAAATAAATAGGAGCCGCTCTGAAGAGGTCGTGGACTGGGGGTGTAGGGAACCCTTCGTGGAGCTTCAGAATGCTGGCTCTTGTGACCAGCGCACCTCCTAGGGCTTCCGAAACCCTGTGGAGACAAGCGAGAGGTGGTGAGGGCCTCGGGCGGGACGAAGCCAGAGGCTGAGCTTCCGGCTTTGTGCACTCCTCCATGCCAGTGGGCAGCTGAGCACCATGCCAGAGGTTTTGGAATTTCTGAGCCTCCATGGTCTTCTCCATCAACTGGAAGTTATCATCACCCCGGTGAGGCCGTGGAGGTTCTGGATGGTTGAAGGGAACCCAGGAGGGCATGTGCTAGGGGCTCCAGTGAACAGACACTACCCCAAGAGTGCTTCTCCTGGCCCCTTTGATGAAAAAGGATAGAAAGAGGGTGGAGATACAGGTGGGTGATACATGTGGTCCACACGGGGTATTTCCACAAAGCCACCCTGCGGCAAGAAGAAATGAGACTCAGGTGTCCCAAACAATAATCCAGAAGTCACAGCCTGGGGAGAGAAGTGCAGGTGCAAACCCCACACCTGCCCCTGAGCAGGGCGGGGAGAGGGCACTCACCATTGCAGCCCAGGCTACGGGAGGAGCCGATCCGGTCTAGCCTCCGCCCAAAGCAACCCAATTTCTGCTTCATCTGGATGCTGTAGGACTTGTCCAGGGCCTGGATGGTCCCATCTTGGCTCTGTCTCAGTCTAGGGGCTGCGGTGGTCTCCTGGGTCTCCTGGGTCTGCCGGGTTTCCCAGGTTTGTGTGGTGCTTTCAGTTGGCTGGGAGGACTCGGTAGCCAGTTGCTCTATCTCCAGCTGGGAAAGCTGCATCAGGATCCGCTCCAGTAGCTCCTGCGGTGGGCCGGGAAGCAGACAGAGGTTCAGGACCTCTCACCTGGGCTCCCCCTCTCACTCCATCCCCAAGTGAACCCCACCCTCCCGACCTGGCACTGGGCCTCACTTTATCATTAGCTCCCAAGGGGGAGAGCGAGGCCTTAGAGACCTTCCATGACCACAGCCCACGCCCATGCAACCCCTCACCTGTAATCCAGGAAACTTCTGGGAGGTCTCGGATGAGTCGCCCAGCGGGTACGAATGAGACCCCTGTGGCGACAGGTGCAAGAAGAGGAGGAGTAGCAGCGCGCGGGAGAGCACGGTTGTGTCCATTTGGCTGGGCTGAGTGGCTGCTGCTGGCGGCGCTCGGTTCCCGTCCCACCTCTTGGCGGTCAGCAAGCGCTCTCCTGGCTGCTCTGACAAACACACGCGGCCTTTTATCCCCAGCCGGCCCACTGCTTTCCCTGGACGAGGGGCGGGGGCACCGTTATCTCTGATTTATCAGCCACATTCCGGCCCGCTGAGCTCAGGGCGGGCGGTGGAGGCTGAGGAGAGCAGGCCTTGTATAGAAACGGGCTGGGCAGGGGGCGGGTGCGCCGGGGGGGAGGGGGGGGCGCAGCACGTCCTCGACTCCCGCTTCCTCCCATCCTGCAGAAACCCAGGGCCTTCGCTTGGCGCTCCCTCTTCCCTGCCACCCCAGCCATCGTTGGAAAAGGCGGCTACAGGGCCGCCCCAGCCGGAGTCCCCTCCACCGGGAGCTAGCGGCTGTGGAACTCGGGAAAGCAGCCTAGGGATGTTGGGGGCGCTGGCCGTGGTGCTGACCGCACCCGCGCAAACTAAAGCACAAACTCAGGACCCGCCCTTGTCATTGGGATTTCCAGGCCAGCAGGACTTTCACCGGGCAGGGGACAAGAGACCTCAGAGACAACTCCCGTCTCTCGGTCCCTCCCCCCTCCCTGCCACCATGCGCCTCGTGATGCTAGGATGTATTTCTTCCGTGACAGCTGTTTAATAACCTGGGTATGACAAGAAAGTTCTGGAATGCTGACCCTTCTTCCTTCTCGGAAAGGGTAGCGTTGACTTGACTGGAATTTCAAGAGCAAGGCGGGGGAGATGAAGTCATCTTTGTGGCACCTCACTCAGGTGTCAACACCTTCCCCACCCCCCAGACAATATCAGGGTGCAAAAAGATGGGTCTGAGAGAGTAGACGCACCCCTCCACCCGCCGTCTTCATCTCATCACCCCCAGACCAATTCCCAACTGCAGAGGGTCTGGGGCCTCTCTGCTACGAGGAATGAGGTTCATGAGAGAAACGGCCTGGGGAAGTGACACAGCAGCATAAAGACCCCCTCGCCCAGATATTGTGATCCCGTTCAGAGAAGCCCTGTTGAAGAGCACTGAGCATCAGCAGCAGGCTGTGCTGGACTGGGCTGTGCTGGACTGAGCTGGGCTGTGCTGGACTGTGCTGGGCTGGGCTGGATTGGTCTGAGCTGGACTGGCCTGGGCTGGACTGAGCTGGGCTGGTTGAGACAGCAAAGGGGCAAATATCTGCAAGTAGCTGTTTTCCAGTGTCAAATGATCAAATTCCTGCTGTAATGCCTTGTTTTTTCAGACAAGAAAAGCACTCAGATGAATGGATCAGCTTCATGCAGCTCACAGCATTGGCGAATGGTAAGACCTGGTTTCGCACCCAGCTGTTGAGTTCTAGCCCTGCAGTTCATAAAACTGCTAGCATGGTCACAAGGTGCTTCTTCTGAAAGAAACCTTGGTTGAACCCCTTGTCATCAATGAAAGCTTAGGGAAGCTGTGCTGTGGAGGATGGCGGGAGGTGTTGGGGGGCCTAGTCTAGTAGCTGTGTGTGTGGAGGAAGGAAGGTGTGTGCCAAGATGAGTATTTCACAGAAAAAGATGGAGGTCAGGTGAGGGCTGCACAGATATGGCCATCCTAGGCGGGTTCTGGGGGCTGGGGCAGTGTGTGTGTGTGTGTGAGTGTGTGTGTACCTGCATGTGCATGTGTGAATACAACAGGAACACTATCCACAGGCTAACAAAAAGTGAAGGAGGCAACAAAATACAGCCTGGGATATTGAGTCTGGGCAGGGAGCAGGGCTGCCAAGAGCCTGCAATCCTGTATGCTGGATGTCGCAAGATGAAGGGTCACAAGGAACCAGAGTCCATCAACCAACACCTACCACAAGTTGACTCTGGGGTCCAGGGCAATAGCCTATTGGTTAAATCCTCGCCTTGCGTGCAGTGGTGCAGCAGGCTAATCCTCCACTCTGTGGCACCAGCATCCCATGTGGGCGCAGGTTCATGTCCTGACTGCGCCACTTCCCTTCCAGCTCCCTGCTTGTGGCTTGGGAAAGCAGTCATGGATTGCCCAAAGTCTTGGAACCCTGCACCCACATGGGAGACCCAGAAGCTCCTGGCTCCCGATCAGCTCAGGACATTTGGGGAGTGAGCCAGTAGATGGAAGATCTTTCTCTCTGTATCTCCTTCTCTGTGTATGTCTGCTTTTCCAGTACAAGTAAATAGATCTTTTTTTTTTTAAGTGTTGACTCTGCCTAAGGTTCAAGCCTTGCTTGACAATTCTACAAATCGACATGACTCCCATCTTGCGAAGCCCACGAGGGGAGAAGTGACATCTATGAAAACTCATGACAGTGTAAAAGAACCAAGGAAATGAGGTGGCATAATTGTGACATTTTTGGGAAGACAGAGCTACCCCATGAGGCACACAGAGCCTCTCTCTGTCCACAGCCTATAGAATGTGAGAGAAGAATTTAGGGAACTCAGGCCTGAGGACAGCCTAGTGAAGGAGGGTGTATTACCCATCAGTTCTCATGCCAGATCAGTCCCACAAGTATTTATCAAGCAATTACTCTACGCCTTGTGCTTTGGGCATCAGCATCCAACCATACCTCTGAAGTCACAGCATTCCAGTGCATTGGAATGCTAACTTAGATGGTACTTGTGCTAAGCTGGACCACAGCGACTTGTGGGAGATTGCCCCTGTCTCTGCCTGCTGCCTGGCGGGCAAGACTCACAGCTTACCTACTGAGGCAAAATTGGGGCCTCACCCGAACTTACCTGATGTCTTCAGGTCCCTCTTCAGGCACAAGTTCTCAGGGTTTATTTCTGCCAGCGGACCCTGAGACCACCCAGGGGTAAGGCAATAGTGTCCTTCGGTGGCAGGACCATCGGAGACAGACTGGTGAAAGATGTCTGTTTATTGTGAAAAAATTACAACCTTATAAAGATTAGGGAAGAGGAGGAGCAGAGGGGCGTCTCCGACATTTCCCCCCCCCCCCCGCCCCCAGCAATGACACTGTAATTAGCTGGAAGGCTCTGTCCATTCCCTTAGATCCTCTAGTCAAGTCACAGGTCAGTTCTTCACACATGGCTGGAAGCTGCGCCTCAGGTCAAGTGCAGGTAAGATGTGAGTCACACCCACCAGGTAGCAGGGAAGACCCATGGGCAATCTCCCACAAGTCCCCAGTATGTCCACATCCTAATCTCCAGAACTCAGTGTGTGATGCTCCATGGAGAAAGCACTGGGTGAGTGTGATGAAGTGAAGGATCTGGAGTGAGAAGCAGCCCCAGGCCATCTGGGAGGCTCAGGGTAGCCACATGGGTCCTTCCCAGTGAGACAGCGGAGGATCAGGTGAGTGAAGGAGATGTCAGGGTGGAGCTGGAGGTCAGAGAAGGAAGAAGCCACTAGGAAGCTGTGGAGAAGGAGAGAGAGGCCATGAGGGACGTGAGTGGTTTGCAGAGACAGGAAAAGGAAGAAAAGAGGGACCAATGTTGTGGCGCAGCGAGTTAATCTATTGCCTGCAATGTTGGCATCCAACATAGGTGTCAGTTCAAGTTCTAGCTGTTCCACTTCCAACTCAGCTCCCTGCTAAGTCACCTGAGAAAGCAGCAGAAGGTGGTCCAAGTGCTAGGGTCCCTGTCACCCCCTGTGGAAGACCTGGCTGGAGGTCCTGGCTTCTGGCTTCAGCCTCACCCTGCTCCAACTGCTGCAGCCATTTGGGAGAATGAACCAGCTGATGGAAGGACCCTTTCTCCTTCTGTAACTCTACACACACAGACATACACACACACACACACATGACATTGAAGATCTGGAGCCACAGTGTTCCAAGGACCAGACTCAGCCTGGATTCAGTCCTGCCTCAACATGTTGTTGCCTGTGTGATCCTGGTTATTTCAGAATGAATATGTATACATAAATGTGCAGGTGTGGGTGGGGGACAGTGTGTGGCAAAGTGGGTAAAGTGGATGCCTGTAGTGCCAGCATCCCATATGGACACTAGTTCGAGTCCCTGTCAATGTACCCGGTAAAGCAGCAAAAGATAGTCCAACTACACCCACATGGGAGATTCAGATGAAGCTACTGGCCCAGTTCTGGTCATTGAGGTCATTGCGGAGTGAACCAATGAATGGAAGATCTCTCCCTCTCTCTGCTTCTCCCTCTCTGTAACTCTGCTTTTTCATATAAACAAATAAGATCTTGTTTTAGATGTGCACTAAGCAGCTGTCAAAGCAGAAGCAAAGGCAGACCCAGTCAGGAGGGCACAGTGACGGACAGTGGTGGGTAGTCCTGGATGCTGTGTGCACACAGCGGGACCACTGGCTGAAGAAGAAGTGCTGGGCTGAGGCTTCAAAGGACAGGAATGCAGTAGCAGAGGTGGGCCATTTGGTCTAGAGGTTAGGATGCTCACATCCCACCTTGCGGTGCCTGAGTTCGAAACCCAGCCCTGCTCCTACCCAGTGTCCCTAGTGCAGACTCTGAAGGCCGAGGTGCTGGCTCATGGGACTGGATCTCCGCCTCTGCGAGGGAGACTTGGGTTGAGTTGATGGCTGCTGTCTGTGGCCTGGGTTGTTGCAGGCATTCAGGGAGTGGGCCAGTGAATGGAAGAGCTCTCCTTCCCTCTCCTTCCTTCCCTCCTCCATTTCCAGTCTCCCTGTCACTCAGATAAAAACAAGTTAATCATGAGAACCGAGAGGAGTCAGGCATGGTGGACAATGGTACTCTTCCACAGCCCTCCTTGGGCTCCTATGTCCAGCCCAGCTGTGGACAACCACAGGAGTGGGTGTGAGAGCACTGGCTGCGCACCTGGGCACGGATGAGGAAGGAAGCGCTGTGCCTGGCCGGGGAATGGGGGAACACTCACTGTGGTCCCTGCTGGCTGTGTGGCTCTGTGGGCTCCTTGCTGTGTGCTGGGCCACTGCTTTGCCTGAGTACCACGGAGAAAGAAGGCCAGGACCACTGCCAAGCACTGAGACCTAACTTTAGTAAACCGCCCTCCACCACTGCGGGCTGGGGTTTGTGCCAGCTCCTACCCCTCGGAAATCCACCTCCTTCAGTGATTCGGAGACATTTTCAAACAACCAGAACCCACCT